TATATATATATATATATATATATATATATATATATATATATATATATATATATATATATATCTCCTGTTTAAAATGCTCAATTGGATAAAGTAGGAAGAGTGCCTTGCTCTAGTTCTTTGTCCATTCATTTCATTGTCTCTTCTTTTGTCTTTGTGTGATTTGCTCTTCATGTCAAATCTTATGAAATGAACAAAAAATTTGTCCTGTTTTCTCAAGAATAGACTTTGGCCTTGTTTGATGAAATTGCTAATTATATATGTTTTGATTTCATATAACTTTCTTTTCCCTGGTTTGACTGACTCACCTAGCATAAGACCTGTTGTCTTATCCACCCACCATTAGGTTGAGTTGGCAGAGTCTGCAATTACAAGTCAAACATTGAAAGATTTTGTCATGGTATATGTTGCAGTGAGCTTTTTATTTTAATAGCCAAGAAATGATCCAGGAATTCACTTCCTCAAAAGTTTTTTTTTGCATCTCATCAGATTGTTCTCAGCACATACCTTTCAGCAGTACTTGATACTATTGTTAAGCCCTTCAACTTCTGATTCTCCTACAAACCTTTTCCTTTTTGTTTTGTTTTGGTTGACACAATTGCTAAAATTCTACCTTTTGGTAGTTGCTAACACAATTGCATCTCATCTTGGTATGGCAAGTTAGACATTCCAAGATGTTGCTGCTTCATTGACCACTCTTCATCTACAACTTGGTGATTTAGTCTGATCATGTTGAAGTTGCAGAAACCAAACAGGACTCTCTCTCTCTCTCTCTCTCTCCCTCACTCATGTGGCAATTGGCACCAAAAAGTCATTAAAAGGAAGGTGAAAAAGGACAAGGAGATGTGGGGAAGTTTAGCTGGAAAGTGGCAGGAAAGATGCTGCCCAAATGGCTTCAGTACCTCTCAGCTTCCGTATACCAATTTGCATGTTATCAGAGATCGATGCGTTCATCCATGGAACGGTGGCTCCCAAGCAGCTGCCAACCTGCTTTCCTTCTTCTGCACACTGCTCCTTTCTTCTTTCCATCTCCCAGCAAAAGCTTACAACTTCCTACTTTCTTGATCCTATTTTGGATTTATCCAAAGAAATCCAACTCACCTTTCTTCTTCTTCTTCGGATATAAATGGAGAACAACTGTTCAAAGACCAGTATTTTTCTTAAAAGATTCAAGTACAGATTGTGATTCTGAAGCAGTGCCTACAAGAAGATAGATACAATTCCATAAGAAAGGAATCAAAGAACATGAATAAGGAACCACAAAAGACACACAGATTGTCCAGTGACACTGTACCTATGTGTGTCTCATTGAGTTTGGGCCACTGACTTGGTTGTGCAGTGTATTTGTTTTGTGCTTTTTCTTCTCTTCCCTGTTCCTTGAGCTTTGTGGTATGGACTTCCCACCATTGCCTGTAGAGAAATCCAACCTCAACAAACTGTTAGACTACAAATTCTTGAGATTGTTCTGGCAGACTACTATTATAATTCTTTAGGGATTTAGTTCCATCAAACAAGGACATAATCTTCTTTAATGGGTGTACCAAAATAAACTGAGAGAACAGTAGAAGAGGGGTTGTAAAGCCATTCAACTTTTTAGTTAATAAAATTTTTCTTTTGTTCATTGCTCTGTTTTTCTTTTCTATATTATCAAAAGTTTAGTTTCTTTCTCCTCTCTTGTTGGTTTATTCATATCCTCAATACCATCTCCTTTTAGGAGAAAAGGTCAAATTAATGATTTTGTTCAAAGTTACTTGGGTAAACATTCATATACATGTATGTATATTCTTCAAAGCCAGTAATTTGCATACTTATCCATCTAAATTAAAGTTTTCACATATATTAATATACCTCTCTAACCACTAAAAGCTTGCAAATAAACAAAATCCATTAGCTACTATGACTTGGCTGTCTGTTGAAATTATAATTTACATCAATAATCTTTAAAACTCATTATATACTAAAAGTATTTATCTAATTTTAGATATTTTATGTTTTTAAATATATTTCTTTATATCAATCTAGCTAAAGTTAATTACACTCAGAATTGGTCTCTTCAAGATCAAGAAATAACAAAAGCAAATTGCTTAAAACAAGTCAAAAAAAGGATATCCTGGTCAAGTTGTGTTCTTTGTTCAAAAAATGGTATTTTGTCAAAACTGGTCTAAGTATTTTGTCATCTCAAGAGATGTGATCCTATTCCATCCTTTTCCCATATCATCCATTGAACCAGCTTAAGTTTCAACCTTGAAGGGGCAGCCCTTGTTGAACACTTGACTGTAGCAAGTCAACATGTAAGGATTCCAAGACCATTCATCTCTTTGAATTGAGGTCCAATTTGGTGCTTCATCATCTCTTGTGACTTCATTCTTTGCCATTCAACTCAATTTCCCTCCTGCCTGTGAAGTTGGAAGTTAGACAAAATAATTCATTGACTAATAATTAAGTAACTGTTTGTCATCTTAAAAAAAAACAATTTATCTAGTAACAAAAGGATCCTCTTGTGACAATGAAAAAGAATAAATAAATCCAACTTGATATTGATAGGATTAGAAAAGGATTAGATGATAGCTCAAACACAAAGGGATTAAATTGAATATTTGTGTACCAACAAGCTATAAGATATACAAGATTTTCCTTATTCAATAAGGTTGTGATTCTGCCAACAATGGTTTGCTCTTTCCACAAAAAAAGGGTTTAGCAGACTGGAAGTCATTACAGTATGAAAGAAGAACACTAATTTAGGAGAAACCTTGATGCAACCTTATAGAATACATCCAAGCAAACTCTGAGAAAAGATACATCAAGGTATCTTTTAGACAGAGAAGATGGTCTGTGTCATTTAATTCAGTGTGTAAACAGGACAGATGTCTCAGAATTGTGTTAGCATCATCCTCTGCAATGTCCATATTAAGTCCATGATTGGAAAGAAATAGTAGATTGGTTTCAAAGGATGATCACCATTACTGAATCAGGGACCCTCAAGTTAGATTTGTCTTAGATTATTTCAGAGAATAATTCAGCACAGTCTACAATCATTGTGGCTGCTAGCAATATGGTCCCCAGATCTGTCCATGAGATGAACCTGGACTTAAGGATCAAATCAACAATCATTTTTTCCAAACTCCACTTGGTCTTTTTGTTGTGTTCCAAGCGTTTATCAGTTCATACAGATTGGTAGATGGTAGGCACATGAGACAAGAAATTTACACAGATGTATCAGCTTGTTCTTGTCACTTTTCTGTCTTTGGGTTGCTCATACAATGTGATGGCTTGTCACAGCACATTTTGGTGAAAAAGAACTTGATATCTTGCTGATCCAACATGGTATCAAATGGGACCAACCAACAAAAATATCTAATCCAGGATCTTATCTTCCACCATAGTTTAGTAGTACTCACATTGAACACAATTTTCTGCTTCATTGCTTGCTTGGTAGTGTTGAAGCACATTAGAAGACTTCAAGCAGGAAAACCAAGCAGGATAAGACACATGCAATCCATTAATCTGATAGATCTCCAATAGCTGCAATGACAAAACTGCAATCCATTAATCTGAATTCTGAATTCTGAATTCTGTATCCTAAATTGCTTTCATATCTTGAATGAGGATTTTCACTTTATGGTATCATTCAATCATAACAAGAAAACATTGATAAAAAGAGAAGCAACAGCAAATGACATCTATTGTCAAATTCATTCAGGAGCTTCTCATTATGTTTTGCATCTGATGCAGCAATGGTATGGGACAGAAAAAAGTCATAATCTCATAATGCCTTATTTCTTGCAATGTATTGCTTGAATTCAGAATCATATATGGAAGAAATCATGGCTAGGAATCCCAGCAGGTTATTTTTCACTGGTTCTCTGCCTTCAACTGTGTATCATGAAATGGCACAGTGTGCCAAAATCAGTGCCCAAGACCTACACTAGACAAACAAGGATTGCCAGTAATAGCTCCACACACCCAAAACTTGTTTGTAATGGATTTGGGAATATTGTCATTTATGCTTTCCTTCCTCAGATATTTAAATACAGAAAGTATGCCACCCCATGTTAGGTGTCAAAATTCGATAGCTTAAAATGGACTCATCTCAATTAGCTGTGTGGAATTGTTCAGAGAATATTTCTGAAAATTATCATCTAGTTAGCTCCTTACTAGACAAACACCTTCAACTAAACTGAGAGACCCATTTATCTTTCAACATTGTTGCAATGATCTTAGAAAGATCATTGCAACAATGTTTGTAAGTTCATTTAAAGCCTCTAATGTTGTTCTTTTCCTTTTCCTCTTTCTGAATGCCACATAATCATAATCTGGAGTTAGTAATCATCTAATTTCATTTAAATCTCCATTAATCAGCTTAATGATGATTTAAATTAATTGTTTCTTTAGAATATGATTCCTATTTAGTGGACTCAAATATCAATAGCCCTTATAGCTCAGTGGTAGAGCGTCAGTCTTGTAAACTGAAGGTCCGTAGTTCGATCCTGCGTGAGGGCAATTTATCGTCATCGATGAGACTACATTTGATTTTTATGTTCTCCTATTTTTGTTGCATTCGGAGAACCACAATTATGTTGGTAATTAATCTTTACAAAATCTGTTTAGCCATCCCATAATATTCGTGAGTGGATTTAATTTTGACTTTTTTGAGGACCCGATTCTCCGTCCTACGATGCCATACTCGCCGCATCGTCGACCGTCCGATGAAACCGATTAAGATATTTTGCAGGGACACCGCAAACGCCAGCCCGCCAC